CTCTCTCTCTCTCTCTCTCTCTCTCTCTCTCTCTCTCTCTCTCTCTCTCTCTCTCTCTCTCTCTCTCTCTCACACACACACACACACCCACACCCACCGTTGATCCCCGCAAAGCAACGCTCCGATAACGTGGTTTGGTCCCCCGCGCCCCACGCGACGGGCAAAAAAAACAAACGCGCGACGGGCAAAAAAAAACCCGCAGGCCCGCGCACCGCACCGCACTGCACTCAGGCCCGCATCCGCCCACCACCGAATGCCGCCACGCAGGTCCACAGCGCCCCAGTCCCGCCTCACGGACCGACGGGTCGGCTTTCGCTATGCCGACACCCACGTGCCACCGGTTCCCCCTCGCCCTACTGCCTCGGAGCGGGCCCGTGCGGCGGCGCCCGGTTTCTGTTGGGCCAGTCACGCGAGACCCACTTTTTCCTTTAGGAGTATTAGAGATTAGAGATGTAGATAGTATTACGGGGAACCTCGTAGCAGCCAGCTCGAGTTCAAGCCTCCAACAAGAGAACATGCTGGGGCTGCGACCTGCAGGTGGGCAATACTGGCCAGGGGTCAGTCGGTAGCATCAGGACCGAGCTTCTTCTATGGGCCACTAGCTGTGCCTCCCCTCGGGTCCCCTCCCTCTATGAAAATCAGCAGTCTCTGCTCAATGCTGCTCAGGGGGGCCAATGGCGTATCTCTGGGTGGCGGGTGCCAAGGGCTGCAGGAAGGTGCATAAGGCCAACTGGTATCGAACCCAAGACCTCTTGAATGCCACTTGACTGAGGCCGCTCATCGCAGGCCGTTTGTTATGCAGAATGTCTTTTATAAAGGCACGCATATTCCACGCTCCTATATTCTTCTCTCAATTCTTTATCTTTCAAGACCTACCTACCACTACTCCTAAAGCTATGGGACCCCTGCAATAATAGCTAACAACCTCTTTTTTCTTCTTTTCACAGGGGGTAATATGTGGGACGGTACGAGCACCGCCAGATACCTCTCTCGGTTGAGGGAGGTAATTGCACGTTTGCCCCTTGCCGGTGTGGTTTAGGGTGCAGGGTTGGGGCCCCCAATAACGCTACGGGTAGGGGCTAATCCACTTTGGTAAACAAATAAAAAAATAAAAAATTCGTAGGTCGAATACAGCCCTCCACTAAAATGAACGAGGGGCAAACATGCCGTTACCTCCCTCCACCCATGGAGGTAACCTCCCTTCACCGAAGAGAGGTACAAAGCTATGCTTGCAGGGGTCCCTGTATAGCCTTAGGCGTAGTGGTAGGTAGCCTAAGGAAAAAGATATGGCCTATGACATGGCAGAAAGCCAGTGAGTGAGGTGAGAGAATATATATATATATATATATATATATATATATATATATATATATAGGGTGTGAACCGACAGTCTGTAGAGTTTTCCATCTGGTGTGGGTGAGTGATAGTCTACTTTGATTTTGGTTAAGGTAGATTATCATTTACAGTGT